ATAAATAAATAAATAAATAAATAAATAAATAAATAAATAAATAAATAAATAAATAAATAAATAACATATCATCACCGCGGGGAGGGGGGCGATGATAACTTCCTCAATGGCTCAAGGGGGCGTTTCTTTCAAAAAGGTTAAGAACCACTGCTCTACACCACAGTGGGAATCACTTGCACAATGACCACTTTACAATCTGTTCCAGAATTTTGCGTGGGATTGATGTCAGGCTGTCTGGCCTGTAGTTCCCAAGTTCCTCTTTTTTCCCTTTTTGATGATAGGGACAATGTTAGCCCTCCTCCAATCTTCTGGCATCTCACCTGTTTCCCATGATTTCAAGAACATAACAGACAGTGTTTTGGAAAGTTCTTCAGACAGTGCCTTCTGTACTCTTGGATGCAGTTCATCTGGCCCTGGAGATCTGAATTCATTCAAAGGAATAAGGTATTGATGGTTGTTGTGGGTTTTTCAGGCTCTTTGGCCATGTTCTGAAGGTTGTTCTTCCTAACATTTCACCAGTCTCTGTGGCCGGCATCTTCAGAGGACAGGAGTCAGAACTCTGTCTGTGCTCTGGTGCGGTTTGTTTGGATAGTCGAGTATTTATAGCTGTGGGACCAGCTGGTGTCCTTTTCAGGAGATGGGTGATTGTGATGATCAGCGTGTTTGTGTTGTGGGTGTATTGTTGTGATAAGGGGGAGAGATTATCTGCCACTGTGGTTGATAGGGGTCGTTAGCTGCTCTTTTGTGTGCAGTGATCACCGGTCCTTGTGGCTGGGTAGAGTTTGCTGACCTTTTACAGGCTGTATTTCTCAGTGCTGGGAGTCAGCACTGAAAAATACAGCCTGCAAAACTCAACAAAATCTGGAAGATCATCTCCCCCCTTTATCACAACAATCCACCCACAACAAAAAACACGCTGATCATCATAATGACCTTGGGGTACCCCACTTGTCACCTCCTCCCAGTGAAGGACCCCATTCATCATCACCATCTGAGTATGATTCTGTAGCCAATTGTGGATCCACCAGACAACTGATCTATCCAGCCCACACCTCGTTAGCTTGCTAATCAGGATCTCATGGAGCACTTTTGTCAAAAGCTTTGCTGAAGCCAAGATTTACTATGTCTACCACATTCCCTCTGTCTCTCAGGGAGGTATGTGTCTATTTTTTTTGTTCTCAGGTCCTGTCTGAACTTTTTGTGAAGCCACCCAGGCCTTCTTTGCTGCCTCCTACCTTTTCTTCCCTTGTTGAAATTGTTTGTCATTGTGCATTTAGAATTACTTTTTAAAGAAACATCCCACCTTTCTTGGACTCCTTTTCTTGTTAGAATCTCCTGCCACACAAGCCAGGAATTTATTGGAAGTGCCAGACTTGGCAGAATTTGCCTCCCAACAGATATCTGGATAATTGAAATCTCCCATCACGACAACATCAAGTCTCTTTGAAATCCTTGCAATTTGTTTTTTGGAAGTCTCATCCGCTTCCTCTCCTGGATTGGGGGAAGGGTCATTAGTAAACTCCAGCTACCATGTTCCTTTTGTTTTTCACCTCAACAACATTGAACCAGATATTCTCAATGAGGCAGCCAATCTCCCCTTCCTCTATTTATGTACTTGAAGCCTCCCTTTACTACTTCTTATGTCTATTTGAAATTCTTGCAGTTTTGAGATAAGGCTCAGTATAATCCCGATGCTTTACTCAGACATGAGTTTAGGGTATGGTAGGGCAAATTACCTGGTCTCAGAGACAATACGTACAGATACAAGAGTCTGTCTAGAAGAGGTGCCTATTCCCTTCTTAAAAAAATTCAATGTTAATGACACTGTGCAAGATTAGACTGGCCTCAGATTCTTTCCACATTCAAACTGGGATGTCAAGCTTATAGTCCATCTATACTCAGATGATACTGCAGTGGACATAAATTGGCATTTGAAGATTATTGCCTAAGCTGACCAAATGCTGTGTAAGAGAACATCTCATTATTATTAGACAAAGATCAAAGTAGTTATCTTTGGAAAGAAGAGGGGGGAAAACCCACACGTGAAAGCTGGATAATCCACCATATTGACTTTTGCTTTAATGCCTAGCTTTCATGGAGACATGATCTGAATGCCATTAACCTGAAATTGTCTCACTCCGCTCAGTCTCTCTCTTTTTTGCCATTTACGAGAGTCCAGGAGGCGAGCTTGGTTGCCCCTGGGAGTTGGTGGAGCTGCTAAGGAAATAGATCCACAAGTAACCTAGAGGGCAGAGAGATGGGGCTCCTATTCAGCACTCTGTTGTAAGATCTCTGCTCACTCTCCCCCAGGGCACACCGGCCACATGTTTAAAGGCTGAAATGGATTTGATCCCAATTGAAAGACCTGCCCATGTCACATTTGGTATGTTCTGAGTGAAAGTGGCCTGCCTGAGCAATACGCACCTTCCAAAGAAATGTTTTAAAGAACAGTTTCAGAGCCTGTTGTGGGAGTCCTGGGTGAACTCATCCAGCTCTGGGGTTGCTGCAGAGTCCTTTCCCCATAGCTCCTGCAGCTAAACCATTTATGTAGCAACAGGAGGAATTTGTCAGCAGCAAGAGGTGATCTACAGCAAGAAAATAGACTCTCCTTTTGCGGCTGCATGCTAATTAAAGTTTTCCTATTCCCTGTGTTTGTCTGTATTTTACAGGTGTGGCTCTGTGGTGGTAGCATGGAGGTGCTTCCCTGCTCTCGAGTAGCCCATATTGAGCGTAAGAAGAAACCATACAACAATAACATTGGCTTCTATACAAAGAGAAATGCCTTGCGGGTAGCGGAGGTATGGATGGATGATTACAAGTCTCATGTGTACATCGCATGGAATTTGCCTTTGGAGGTAGGCCTATACAACTTTGTTTCCTTAACCATGACCTGATTTGGTCAGATCAAACTTTAGATTCAAAAAGGTTTTAAAAAATTGAAAGAGAAAGACAGTTCTTTTTTACTTTAGGGTTTGAAGAATGATCGGTCCAGGAATGTGAGCTTGGGAGATCTACATCACATTTTTAAAATGTATATTTCTCTTAGAGATCATCTATATTACGTTGGCACAAGTGATACTGAGGCTGGGGGACATCCTCTCTGCTGTGCTGTTGAAGTCCTCCAGGCTTTTACTTCTGAGGGATTTCAGCATCCATGTGGAGGCAGCTGTTAGTGGTCTAGCCTTGGACTTCATGGATATCATGATGTCCGTGAAGGTGTCCCAACATGTGAATGGGCCCGCACATGTGGCAGGTATTTTTCACTGGCCGAGGTGAGGAAGATCTGAGGGTTACGGTTTTAACATTCGTCATGGGCAGAGCATCACCTGCTGAAATTTGGTCTTGTCGTGGCTGTAAGCAAACAGCTCTCCTAAGAGACTGCTGAAAGCTGGAATAGAGAGGTTCCAAGTCCAGTTGACCCCTATTTAAGTTGAGATGAGTCCTTGTCTCAACAAGGCTGTCTCACTGGCACCCTTCTACCAAGTCTATTCCCACTTAAAAATCACTGAGAAACCAAGTTAAAACCATGGGTCTTAGAGTCATCCAGAACTCCCAAAACTCAGGAAAATACTGGACTCAAAGTAGCTTCATTTGTGGCCTTTAAAGAAAAATAAAATAAGTATGGTAGCAGGTTATCTGTTCAAGAGACCAAGCATAAGTTTTAAGTATTATTGTTTTATTAGAAAAATAAAGAATTAGATAAATTCAGTTTGTTGCAAAGCACAGCATTCAAAACATTTCCATAACTAAAGTAGTTAGAAATCTAGCAAATTCCAGCTATAAAAATTAAAATAAGAAAATTCTACTAGCTAGAAAGGCAGGTAAGGCTAAGCCTCCCTTTCTGTTCTCCTACTATGAACTACATCTTAGCATTAGGAACTCCAAAGTCCATTCAGAAATCAAAAATCCATGGTAAAATCCATTAATCCAAAAATGAGTTAAGAAAGAGTCTCTCTCCCTGTAACATCCTGTCATTTTCTTCACAAGCTGGAGACACCTCCTTCTTCACTCTCCACTGGCGTAAGCCAATCAGGACGAAGGACTGCTTATCTCTCTCCACCGCCTTTTCTCTCTCCACCTCCTTTTCTTATGAGAATCGCAGGTGTTGTTGACATTCGTTCTCTGATGTTATGGCTCGGCTCTTCGTCTTCGGCCTTGGCCAAGCTATCTACATGATAACATTCCTAGCTAGCTGTAAGGGAAAACAGCTTCTCGATGCTTCTAGTAAAATTACACAGACTGAGATGAATTCATTCTACACCATTCCATGACTAAAAATCCCATTTAGAAATTACATTTTAGCTTCAATAACCTAAACCATGACAGTGGCAAACCTTCCTCAAGGGAGGTGGGACCTATTAGGATCTGATTGAGTTCTAAAATGCCTTGAGTGTGTTCCCGACTGACCTGGTTGATGCTCCGGTCGAAGCCCAGGGGACTGAATAATATTTGACAACAACCCAGGCAGTTGACACAATCACTTCAAAAAGCCTTTCCACTTCAGGGCTTGTCCTTCACCCTGGTTCTTCTTCATGGTATGTGTGAATGCACACAAATGGGTTATTCTGCGCCTGTGCAGGACCTCTCGGAAGTTTCTAGAGCTTAAAGGCATGTGATAAACGGGACGTTACCCCATGGAGCGCATGCTCCGCCCACTTGAAGTCCCCTCAGTTCCTTTTAGCCACCACTTAGATCAGACCTTCTGACCTAGAGCAACTAACTTTTTGATCATGATCACCTATCATCTTTTTATAGGCTTCATTTTGCTTCTTATTGATATTTCCCTGTGAGTTTTTCTTGTCTTATGTTCTCTTTCCCATATTTTTCATACTTTCATTTCCCCCTCCCCCCTTTCTCTCCCACCTTTTTATGGCCCCTCCAGGTCCATTCAAGTGGTGCATGTCTTGTTCAAATAAAAGCCCCCTATCCGACGGTCACAACCGCTGCCTTTTTTGTTTGGGGGAACAACACCGAACTCAGTCTTCTCCAGAGTACAAGAGGCTCACTAAACCGACCCTCAAACTCCAGCTTCAGTGTCTCTGCTTCTTTCTTTAGGAAAGATCCCTCCAATCAACCACCTACCATGAAACCTACCTCAAATCCTGTATCCAGGCAGGAATTACCTGAATCCATGTCGAATCTGACCAAAATCTGACCATCTCCCAAACCGAAGGGACCTTCAAAATCCTCTTCGAAGTTGAAATCAGCATGAGTATCGAAGTCATCCTCCACATGGCCTCAGGATCATTCATCTAAAAAGAAGAAGGAGCACGTTAAATCCAAGAAGGCTAAAAAACCATCTAAGCCTTCTTAGCCTCTTGAACCTCTATCAGATCTCCCTACACCGATCTTGGAGGAATCCTCGAGAGATATTCCTGATTCTTCGTCAGAAGGGGAGGACCCACTACTTCCACACCAGGCTCCCGTTTCCGTAATCAGCCTCTAGGCTTGGCCTCTCAGCAGCTGATGTTCCTTCCAGCCAGGCCTCAGCCCATTCTAGCCCTATATCTCCAGGGTATAGACAGTCATTCAGTTGTCTAACTCTGATTCTTTCCATCAGTCTCCCCCTTGCAAACATTTAGTGAAGAGACATCATCTTTCACCAGTTTACCAAGATGCTCCACACTAAGAGATCTATTACATCCATAAGCCTTCTCTACATAATCTTCCTCTTGAATATCGAGACCCATATCATGGGGGATATAGTCGGTCTCAACACCGTGAGAACGACAGTCGATCCGTATCTGGAGACCTATTACTATGATGAACTGAAGAGGGTTCAATATGCATACACTTATCCACCTGAGTCTTCACTATCAGTGTCACCTTCACCACCTCGACACTACCATTGGTCTTGTCAACCAAAGCCTCAACCAGTACCAACAGGTTCGATCCCCTCTAAATCGGCTCTTTAATGCCACTCTTCTCAGCCATCTGACCAACCAATATCAAAGCATTCCCATACATCCTCCATACTGACCTCCACCTCTTCCAACCTAGCACCACCCTTTCCCAGGTTTGTTTCTCATCTCTACAAATCACCACCATGTATAGAAGACCTCCTCCTGCTCCAGATGGTTCTGATAAAAGCTGATCCATTCACTCTATTCCTATAACTCAGATCACCCATCCAAAACCTTGGCACCAATCTCCTTCTTCCAACTCAGCAGCTTCTGACATTCATAATCCTCTTTCCAAAGCTTCTCAAGAGTCCCCATCTAACTTGCCCACACCCAATTCTGATGTGGCAGACAATCATCCACCTTCTCCATTGGAGGACTTTACTTCCTACTCTCACCTTTTTCTCCATATGGCAAAGTTTCTCAAGCTCAGGCAACTTCCACCACCGAAGCAAGACCTTGTGTTTGAGTATATAAATCAGGATAAGTCTCCACCTCTCAGCCTAGCCTTCATACCTGCCATGCTTGACCTCCTAAAGGAATCCTGGGACAAGCCACTGTCCTCTCTCCAGATTGCAAGACGAGTTGAGAACCATTACAAAACCCATGGGTCCAATACATCTTTCCTTACTAAGCACCCAGTACCTAACTCAATTATTGTTGAGTCGAACCAGTTGTGGGCTTGAAATAGATCTTCGGTGCCCCAACATCTGTTGCTGTTCTGCATCATGCCTGGCTTCATTCAGCAGGTATTACAGATAATGACAGGTCTCACATAGAGGACCTACCTTTCGACAGAGTAGGGCTTTTCAATGAAAGAATGGATGAGGTTATGGATAACCTCCACAAGATCAGGAAAATGGCTAAATCCTACTCCACCCAACAACCATATCAATACCAATGACCCCAGTGGCACTGACCCTCCATTTTCCACGAACCATTTTAACAACCGCAATACCATCCATACAAGGCTCAGACATCAAACAGACCCTTTACCAGGCTATCTACCTCCACATTGTCTACCTTACATCCCCAGCCTCAGGCTCAATGTCGTCAAGCTTTCCGTCGCCCCCAAAGAAAGGGCAAACAATATCTTTGACTTTCTCCAACCCGAGGTCAGCTACCATATACCTTTCCGCACACGCCTTTTCCCTTTCTTCCGAAATTGGTCCCGTATCACAAACAACCATCATCCGCCATGGTTACCTTCTTGAATTCATAGAACTCCCTCCTGGTGGTCTCCTCAGACATACTCCATACTCACCTGCTCTTTGAAACGAGGTCTCTCTTCTTCTACAGAAACAAGCTATTCGTAGAGTTCCACACTGAGATCTTCACACCAGCTTCTATTCCAGATACTTCACGGTTCCAAAACGAGAAGGAGGCCTCCCTCCCGTCATCAATCTCAGATGCCTCAACACGTACATCCAACCCAAACATTTCCAGATGGTCACTCTAGACACCGTTATTCCGCTCCTCTCCTTTAAAGACTGGTTTGTTGTAATGAACTTTCAAGACATATATTTTCACATTTCTGTCTGTCCTTGTCATCACAAGTAGCTCCACTTTTACTTTGAAGGCATCACTTACCAGTTTTGCTCCCTCCCGTTTGGCCTTTCCCCTGCTTCACGGACTTTCACAAAATGCCTTGCGCCAGTCGCAGCATATCTCTGCCTACATGTTGTAAAAGTTTTTCCTTACATCAATGATTGGCTCTTATCGAAAGGGTCAAAAAGACACTCGTTTCACTCTTTCCACACTAGCAGACCTCAGGCTCAAGGTCAAATTCAACAAGTCCCATCTCAAACCCTCTCAAACCGCAGAGTATATTGGAGATTCCTTTGACTCATCCACGGCCAGAGCTTTTCTCCCCCATGAGAGAACAGACAAATTGAAAACTGCAATACAGCCCTTTCGACCCTTTGCGTTGATATCGGCTCATTGGACTCAACATC